CCCGCCTCGAAAAAAAGAGCTCCCACTTCCTCCACGATTCCGGCTTATCGGCTTATCTGAAAAAAAAAAAAAAAACGGCGTTTTAATTTGTAGGCTTAAAAGCACGGAATGACCTATAATCAAATGAATATAAAAAAAAATTGGATTTTTGATAGACATTTGAAATAAAAGTTGCAAATTAGGCGTTTTTTTTTTTTGTTTTTTGCTATAAAAAAATCGAAGTTTTGACAATTTTCGATTGATAATAGTTCATTCCATGCGTTTACATATATTGAGTGTGCCCTGTAAATTTCAAGTAATTCGGTCCAGCCGTTTCTGAGATACAATGGAGGAAAGTTTGAAAAACACAGTTTTGAGAAAAACGCGTTTAAAGTTTCAAGTCCGTTAAAAACTATTAAAATATCAACTTACTCTCAATCGGCGATACCTGGTCCATAGAGTATTCCTTCCTCTTCCTCGTGAAACTCTTTTAAAGCAGATTGTTCAGCTCTTGAGTCAATCCTGGCTTGTTTAACGACATCACTTACGCGCCGCTCAGAGCGTAAGATTCGCTTTTCATCCCGTTTCTCAACATACGCTTGGGCTTCACGACCAACAGGGCATCCCATAATCGACATAACTTTTAAAATACCTTGAAAACCTTCATTAAAGATAATAACTGCTAAGTAGCTAGCAATTTCAACAACTTTGGGACCAGAATGAAGATGTTTAGGAGCGAAAGTCCAAATCAAAGAATTCAAAGATTCGTTATTGTTTTGTGTCTCTGCTCCTAAACAACGAATTAATAATTCGTCTTTCGATAAATCTTCGAAAACCGGTTTGATAGCTTCTTGGACTTGCGGAATTAGAGGTGGTTTATCGTGATGAAATTGGTCCAGTTCATTATTAGCTTCAGCCTTACGCCATTTACACCAACTGTCTTCACCTTCTGGACAAAATTGATGCTGAGGGTTTTCATCAGAAGAACATTTGTGATAGTACGTTGCCCAAACTTCCTTTCTCATATCTTCAAGCGAATCTGGATGGCGTCGAATTGCTAATCCGTAGAATTTTGTAAAATATTATAACAATAGAAATTTCTGTTTAAGTCTGTAGAAACGTGTCTAAACTTGTATAAACAAATATATTAATAAAAGGGAGGCCAGGTATAAAGCCGACGGTACACAATAGGCCCGGTCTCTAACTGCCAACTCACCGCTCCGAACCGCTCTTTCTTTTACCTGCTGTATCTTTAAAACGACTTCGAATTTTCTAAAATCGCTTTACTACCGTATTCTAGACATGTTAAGGGAGCAATTTATGAAAAAAAAAATCGATTTTTTCAACCCATCACATAGGAAGACCCCCTTAAATAGTGTTATCTATGGATATTTGTATAAAATAATAAGTCAAAAAAGTTAAAAAAAAAAGTAAAAGCAATAAGGTCTAGTTTATGCAAAATACCGCAACGTTGCAAATAACAGTCTCCGATAGAGAGAAGTAATAGTAGAGAGAACCATCTAGTGGGAATAAAAGTCTAACCAAGTGAAGAGAATAAGAATTTCACACGGATATAACGTGAACCTTACAGACAGAATGACGGAATATCTCTAAACGTCGAATTGATGAATATGATATTGTGCAAATGGGTGTCATTTGCACAATATCATATTCATGTGTGCAAGTGAAAACCTTCAAATGAATAATACCAATAGTGATTATCTATCATTTTCTTCAAATGAGAAAGCATTACAAATAAATTTTATTCGATGTCTCTGTATTCATAATGTAGTGGGAATAGTTTTGCTCTAAGTTATTCTTGTTTATTGTCAAGTTGTACGGCAGCGACTGAATATAAATTATGCAGTCCTTGGCTAGTGCGGTCTCAATAATGGTATTCTAACTAAACACAACGTTTTTGCAATTGCAGAAACACAGTTCCGATGAAATGTAACTAGTCAGTTAAGATTCTACAGGCTGGACTATGTTTACAAGTATATGCTATACAATGAGTTTAGTTTTAAAGTGGCAGGGAAACTAAAACAGTGAAAGTATTAATGAAAACTCTCTTCAAGAAATATGGACCGATATAGACTTTTGACATTTTGACTAAGTTTGCATTTTGTTTCTGACATTTGTATGAATATATCTAATTTTGGTTTTTTCAAATTCACTCCCACTCAAATTCCTTGGAAAAAATTTACAATTTGATAATAGAAACAGTCGTTGTAGATAAGGATATCTTTATCTATGGATACATTTGGTATTTAATCCATATAAACAAAATCATAATATTTATGCTAATATCTGAAACAACAGTATGTCTTTGAAATATAATTTCATAGTAGGCACATAATAATGACCTACAGAAAAGGTCAATATTATATACCTACTTATTGTAAACATTAACTTTATGTTCAACATAACATTTTTGGCTTTATATAATTTGTGCAATTACGTTACCTTTTTTGCGGCGAAAACTAATACCACAAAGCATTATTTAAACAGAAAAACAAATTAAAACTGACACCAAAATATAAATAAAACATGTAACGTCGAGAGCGTTATCTTGAACACTGAACTCAAAACAATAAACGTGAAGTAGGTTCTCTGGCCAGTCAAATACGGCTATACAATACCTAACAACTCTTGCCACGTGCTTATCAGCTACGTTTTATGCTAACTTGACGTGTTAGTTGTTTAACCTTTATGGAAATGTAAATGCAGCATTTTGAGTTATCGCAGTCAACACCATTTCATGTGACGAGTGCCCTCACCTAGTAGCTAGTGTGCCTTTCATAGTCTGGAATTCTTAATAGCGACCGAAACTCTCTGCTGGGGTAGAATTCTTGTACAGTTTTTTAATTGTTTTAATTTTTACAAAACTATGATTTCAGTTTTATTATTAAAATAACGAAAGAAAACTGGTGAACTAATCTTATATCAGGATCTATCCTGATATAAGATTCTGTCTACAGAATCTAAGTTGTTACTACCAATGTAGTTTCAGTGTCGTTCGTAATTTCGAATAATTAACGTTAAAGTTAAAGCTGAAATTCTAATTTTCAAGTATTATGTTTGAATGATCATAGGTATTTTTATAAACCTTCAAATAGGTGCTGTACAAATACGGTCATAAAGTTAACATACGTTGAATAATTAATTAACTGAACAGGTTCATCCAAAGGTTATTTGTATTCATTGAACGTAATACTTTTGACAACATTTAAATTATATTATACTGTATATATAAAAAAAGACATGTCCAGACTAATATTATAATATCAACGCAGAGTCTAGATCCTTGTGTCTGAAATCTATAGTAATAATTCCGTCAAGGGGTACGGTAGACTCGAACGAAACCTTATGTGAATAACAAAACATAAAAAAATATTGATTTCGAGTCGACAACCTATTCGGATTATGGAGTATTTCGTTAAATTCTAATGACACTGACAAACAAACTGCAGTCGCCATCTTTTCACTAGTTAACAAACATTCAACACTACGCGTGCGTTCGTGCCAAAGATCCATCACAAAGAACTGTGACATATGACATGTGTCGTTGACGTTTCGCGAAAATATAGTTTTTGACACTTTTTTATGATAAAAGTGTACCCCGCTACAGGTGGTAACATTTTTTTGGTTCTGTTTATCCTTAATCGGAAATTAAGGTTATAAGTATTTATCAAACACAATGAACGAAGATTTCGAATCTATGCCTTGGTTACCTTTAATATTCTTTGAGAACCGATGACTACAGAAATATCTACCCGAGCGAAGCCGGGTTTTCATCTAGTATAATTTAATTTAGGCTACTAACTATAGTAGAAAATTTCTATATAATATTTTCGTTGTACAGCACAACGAAAATATTATAATTCATGTAATATTGTTAAATTGTCATTATGTGCTCAAAAAATATAGTAGTTGATAAACTGGTAAATCAAATGTGTTATATATCTAATTATAATCGAAAGGGAAAACAGTCTACCATTCATTTTGATAGTAAACGATTTAAGCTACTTCGCTCTGAAAAATGGAGAGCAAATGTTTTTTCGAGTATACAATAGCGCATATCTTGTGTTTATATCGATTATTATGATAGTGTACAATATTTTCGTTGTTATCTCAAACAAAATCATGTAAATTAGTTCATTACACTATGAAAACATACCAAATAGAATTACAACTCAGTGTTGGGGTCATATGTAGAGGCTTCATATCAGAAATACCTACTAGTAACATGAATATTAATATAGATAATCAATATGTAATATTAATACAACCTACGTCAGATCATTGGTTTACTGTAATTTGTATACATAATTGCAAAAAAAACAATCTATGTTTCTTCATAATATTATTATCTAAATAAGTAGTAAAATTTATTTCTATTGTCAAGAAAAGGAATACAAAGCATGTCCGTTGAAAATGCACGTCTTGGCTCTTAAGAATTTATGGACCCTTTTAAAAATCACACCATAGCCCAAGTTATTATTAAATCTCCAGCCAGCTGTCACAAATAACGCAGGGTGCTTGTGAATCTGTATTTAAAAAAATATGTTCCCTGTCCCAGCTGCTCGCATGTAGAAATTGCATCTACCACTTAAATTCCTTTGGCGGACGATAAACAAAAAACTAATATGAAAAACTTAGATTGCGTTGCGCAAAAATCATTATAAATCTTCAAGATTTCATTCTGCCACAAAATATCTGTCACTTGAGGCATTTAATATATCTACTAACTACTATTATAGGTTTTATATAAAATAATAATAAAGATAAATGGAAATTTGGTAATGTAAACGCTATCAATCATTTTAATACATTAGAATAGACCGTTTATTATATATTTATATAATATAAGCTGTAAAGGCTTAATTATCTAGAGCAAAAGGATAATTTGAAAATCTCGACCACACAGTGTATATGTGATGTCATGACGGAATAGGTAATTTTTTTTAGCATTGTTTCTATACATGTAATACAAAAATTTCATTTATAGTTTAAATCATTACCTTTTTTTGATCCAAATAAAGACTTTATTTTCGATATCGTTCTCTTCTTCATTTTTGGTACGTCACAAGATAAAATCACATCCACAGAAAAAGAGTTACACACATCGATCCAGAACAGACTGAAATACACGCGGCACTGCGTCCTCCAGTTTTTCAGCCGGTCGTATGCTTTTTGCTCCTTTTGCCGCTCTTATTTCCGTGGTACGAAAATAGTCCCAGCGCAACACTTGCATCGGAGCAGGCGCATCACTCATGCGTACATTACGTTTACAAAAAAACTTTATAGTGCGTTCAACAAGTTACAGATAGTTAAAAACAAGTACTGTCTTTTTTTTATTGACCCACATTTAGATCTTATTTAGTTTGTAAATCTTATCGCGTTTATCACGCGTGGGCAGACACCAAATGATAAGGAGGGAATTGTTACCGATAGTTACACACGCGACTTTACCGGTATCGGTCAAAAAGAATACTGAGGCCTTTTTCGGCAACGTGTTAAACAAGATGTGCGTAATTATATCAAAGGACGTCTTCGGTTATGTTACATAATAACCGAAGTTAATTACTAGCTGTTTATAAGTAAAAATTTACGAACAATAGTAAATGTTTCAGATGAGCAACTATTGCAATGACGGCTATTCTTGAGCGTGCTTCGAACGCAACTAACACGCAGCGGCGCACGCGCACATCACGACTATAATGGACCACTTCGGTTAAAACTAACACAAAATTGTCCCAAAATCGAACCCCCTTTCGTTAATAGAATACCGTTTCCGTCGGTATTCAATCGACCGGCGAAATAGAATCAAGTCATAAAGTTCAGTCGGAGTTACAAGGCTCGGTGGTGACAACACCGGAGACGACGTATCCGCTGTCTTTTAAAAATGGGATAAGAATGGCATTTTTGAGAAGCGTAGCGCACTTAAAGAATGGCCTGGACTCGAATAAATCGTGAGGGGTGTGAGAAAAAATATGACAGTTGTAATGTGAAAGCGAGACAGAGAGAGTATACGCAAAAACTAGTAAAGAATTTTGGGATGATATATCAATGGAAATGCAATTAAAAATTGGAATGTACTATGTGAATTATGAAATTTAATATTCTCATAGCTCGTTCTCTATACACAAATATGTGTTAGTGTTGATAGGTACAATAAATTATTATCTTCATACATTGATAGCTTATTTAGGATTATACTTATTTGTTATATTTATATGTAAATGTAGTTATGTAAAACAGTGTATTATTTTTTAATTAATTATAGGCTCCACTTATTTATAAAAATATTTACGAGAGAATTTATTATTAAGATTCCTAAAAGTAAACAAGAATTATCATTTATTTTTCTTTGGCTACCCAGTAGAGGACTTCGAGGTAAGATAAATAAACATATACCTATTATTAAACGAATGAGATCTAAATTAGTTAAACTACTCCGTAAACACACCTCCGTGATCGCGTCCACTTTACTACTGTGGTCGTTAACGGATATATTATGCATCCGCTTTAGTTCAACTTGACGAATTTAGTCTTGGTGATAATGACTTCCTCTTCAATAAGTTTACTAAGAAAGTATTTTAATTTTCATTTGTATTATATACTCTATATATTTAAATAAAATAGCAAAGTTAAAAGAATATTCAGCAGTACTTCAAAAATAACAATAATGTTTACTAATTTTTTAACACATCCTTTCCATCAAGGCTTTATCAGATCCGGCAGTGGTGTAAATCACAGGAGGAGCCTATACCTATTTCAAAATTAATTAAAGACTAGAATGAACCCATGTCTTGAAAAGATTTGTATATGTGTAAACATTGCCATTTCGCAAACCAAACGATGCGTTTACTTAAAAACACGACGTGTGTTTAAGTCTTGTGTCATACTGTTTAGAGCTCCTACTTCAAGTTTGTTTGGGTTGCTTCATTCACAATAACTTCTGTCATTGCAATCAGCAAGTTTCATCCGGTAAACACAACAACCACAGTTACTAAATTCATAATATTCTTACTAATTTATCAACTAATTTTTACTAGCGACTTCACTCACTTCAATTGTGATATACATATAATATTACAGATGATACTTTAATTATAGATGGTGTTTACTACCTATAAGTCATTTCTATTATATAAGGTCTGACTATTTATCATGTGAGAAATTCATTGATATGGTAATAGGATAAATCAATATGACATTTTTTTAAAGAAATTTATATTTAAGTTTGTATATCAAACATATTTAGATAGGTAACAGCAATAATACTGTTAATGCTGCAGTCTGTTTCAGGTTAAAATCGTGCAGCTGTTTTGATTGGTCCTGTCTGCGTATACGAACTTGGAGAAATGTTTCATAGCAATATACGTAATTTTAAAAATGGTCTACAAAGCTAAATCCAAAGAGAATGTTAATTTTTATAATAGTTTTCAAAGTGAGCCCGCATTATATTCAATGGAGTGAGACGAACCGCTCAGTGAATCACAGTTGGCTGCACACGCGCATCCCAACTCGGTAGCAGAGTGGATACGCCCGACCACGTACGAGGAAAGTTGCCCCATCACAATTTACAATAACTAAACATTCTTATTATTCATTTGAGATCAACATGGTGCAGTAATTCACTGCCCTGACTAACCCAAACTTGTCCAAGTTCGAATCTGGGCTATATTAAAAAACGATATCTGTTTTATATTAATGACTCTGCGGTAATTAAAAAAATACTGATATCAAACCAAATTAAAACAAAACATGGCGGTCAAATGAAACAAAACAAAGATCGTCTGCAGAGGGTACTTAAAATCGACAGAAGGACTTATAAGAACAGGCCAAAGATCAACTCCTGGCTGACGCATACGGCTTACCTACCATTCGGAATCGATCCTTAGCTCTGGTAGCTTGAATGGGACTGAGGAAAGAAAATATAGTTATGTCATAGGTGGTGAACATCACGATATCGACAGCTTACGTTTGACTACCCCATCTGGTATAACATTATTTAAGCATTAATTTTAGAACTAATCACGTAGAACTACTAATTTGAATTTGGCTCAACACTAACTACACAGAATGTATGTACTAAATACTCAATGCAAAGGTCAGACGTTGATGCGCTTGTACATGCGACCCAGAGGAAGAGAAAATAATGGTCGTCAGAAAAAAAAACGAATAACATTCAACACAAGTACCTATATCAATCTATATGAAAAGTAGTAGTAGTAATAGTGTCTGTGTATCTATATCTGTCTCTATATGTCAATGTAAAATTATTTGCCTTGTTGTATCAAAAGTTATTTAACTTCATCCCGTAGTAAAATATAATATATAATGCGATTCATAAAATCTTTATTTTGTTATGAAATTAAATATAAATATGTGCTTTGTACGAAGTAATCTACAAGCTGTATGATGTAAAGCAGAGAAGAATATTAAGAACCATTTAGATATGGTAGGGAAATGAATGGCTACCGGAACTCAAAAACAAAATGAAGTTTTACGCAGAAAGACAACGATGCCTTCTAGGTCTTAGTATTTCATAACTTCATAGGATGCAGTGGTCGCCTACCATACATTCTCTGAGAATATAATAAAAGTAAAATACGTAGGTATCATTAGGGCGAACTTGCTTGATTGCTCATTATTTCATAACGTATGTAATAATTATTTTCCATCAAATCTCAAAAATAGTTTACTAACCTGTGATCAGTAAAGTATGTATAAACTTTTAGTAAGTACGGATTATATAGAGTTTACATTAAATTAAGTTATATTACATTAATAATGAATAAGAGAATTACATGTCTATTTTATTATTTTCTCGATGTTATGTAATAAGAATAGAACCGACCGGACCGTTCAGTACTTTAATGTATTTGATTACAGAATTATCGGAGGTGAGGTGAAAGAATGAATTTGATATGGTTAACAAGCAAAACATACGATTACCGGTGATAGTATGAGGACATAACGGGCAAATATCTTGAACCTTCAAGATAATATTTCATATGTACCAATGCAACGCAAAGAAAGTTAAATAAATATTACACTTGACCTCGATAAACTTCGTACCGATGAACTGTTGACTTTAGGAGTGTTAGGTTAGTTTTTCATAGATACATGACGAAGAATGAAGAAGGCGATGAGGCAATAAAAAAAAAATTGATTTCAGAAAAGGAGCAACAAATTATTTATAACTAGTTGTGCCCGCGACTTTGTCCGCGTGGAATTTAACTATGTTTTATAAAATAAAACTAGCCTAAGTTACTTCTTATTACATCAGCTACCTGTCAAAAAAAGTCCCGTCAAAATCGGGCCAGGCATATCAGAGATTACCCGGAACAAACAGACAAACAGGCAAAAATTGTAAAAATGTTATTTTGGTGTATGTGCCGTGTTTATATTTATATATATGTAGTAAAAAACTGTTATTTCAATATTACAAACAGACACTCCAATTGTATTTTTATGTATAGAAAATTAATATTAATATAAGGTGGGAAATTTTATACATGGGTATCATTTCATGGTATGGTTGTAATGATATCATTATAACACGTTAAGATGACAATAAGAGATGGGTTACTTTATGAAATAATAGTGTCATCATAAGAGTTGCGTTGGATTATTAACCATCTTGTAGTAAGTACATATTCGTAAAGCCTGCTAATCTTGTATATAAAATTCTCGTGTCCAAATGTTACTTACCATACTCCTCTGAAACGGCGTATAGCGTTATTAATTTATATGGCAAAACAACGTTTGCCGGGATAGTTAATAAACTATAAAGAAGATACTTATTTAAATAACTATCGGACAAATAGAACATTGTTCAAAAGGTGGAGCTAACACATATATGTATGTAGCAAATCATCTTGCTGTTATTTGTTTTTCTGTTTACATAAATTAAACAGTTAGACAATTTTTACGTTAATAAATATTTAACAAGTACACATTTATTTACATTTTATGACGTAAAATGTCTCTCTCTATAATATTATTAACTCTCTATCTATTCATTTATACTCTATACTATTACAAGAATGTTCTCATTACTACGATTTGCATAGTAGGTATGCACTAGACCAAAGGAGAGAAAGAAACAAGATAATGTGACAACATTACAAAACCTGTTTATTACATATTGTCATTTACCACTAAGAAGGAACTGATGTACGTGACCTACTCACAGACGTTTGCAACGACCGGAATTTTAAGACTAGACGAAACAATAGACTTGTTTCACAATTAACTTGCCCAAATTAAGTTCATATATTGATATCCGACAAAACAAGCCAGGAAACAACTATTGATATCCATAGTAATTTTCATAGGTATTAATAATAAGACAATCTAATGCAGCCCTTTGTCTAGTCAATCGATATAAAAAAATGATATTTCCAGTTAAATGGCTATGAACTTTTCATTAACGGAATGAAGAGCAGAATGGAAACAAAAAAGACAACCTGTCTAAAAATAAATATGTAAGGATAGAAACCTATGGCATAGTCGCAATTAATAGGAGGAATTGAATTTTGTGTGTGTTATTTGGTATACAAGGCCTTTGTAATTTGCTGCTTTAGCACAAGCATTATAATTCTACTTAAGTTTGCATAATTAGCGGACCACTCATGGTTGTCTACCTATATAA